CCTTTCAAAGCAGCTATTAAAAATTAATTATTTTTACTTATATATATTACTAATATTAAAGTGAATGGTATTCGCCATTACTTTTAAATAATTTTGATGGTGCACATCATATATTATGTGTCATATTAATGAAATTAATATAGTTAGCCACCTTAAATTAATGTTGTTAGTTCTTTAAAAATTAATTATATTTTAGTTTATATATCATTATAAAAAATATTTAAAGTTACTATTATTAGTAATTACTTTTAAATTGTATTACAAAATCGATATTTTCAATTAGTCATTAGTCATAGGAATAACGAGTACTATATTCCTCATGGATATGGATGTTATCAGATATTTTTGAATATGGATCTAGCTAGAATCAGATAGATAAAAATAACAAAAACATATATATATATATATATATATATATGGAGAGTATATTAAGTAGCCAGCTACAAAATAAGTTATTCTGTAGCCACCTTCATTTACGATAATTTTATATACTAATTTACGATAATGTCAATACATATTTACGATAGTTGGGTTACTATAACACATGGGGATATTTACCATAACCTTATAGTAAACCACTTAGTAAGGAGTTACTATAATCTCGTAAATTAACATAGTAATTATCATAACTTAAAGTAGCTACAGAATAAGTTATTTTGTAGCCAGCTACAGGGTTATATATATATATACATACACACACACATCTATTTAGTATCCATATTAGAAATGAATAAGAATACATATATCCATATTAAGTTTTAGCAGATACGAATTCGAATAATCTAGATTTCCAGACATCCAGTTTTACCCTGCGTATTGATATATCTAAACTTGAAAGGCTAGCTAGGGCGCACGCGCGCACACTATATGATTCTTGGATGCACATGTAATAATGCACACCCTGTTTTTTCTACTATAATTTATACGCAGTGCACAAGACAATGCAACGGGAGATCGAGCAATCAGCAGGCCAGTGAGAATTGACGTAGAAAAGGCACGAAAAAAGCACCGCTGCCATGCATAGCATGCAGTAGGCCCCCAGCTGCACATGGCAAGGTCTTGTAATTAATGCATGCATGCATGAAATATAACCACATGCATGCGTACGGGGGCCGCCCGGTTGCGAGCTCGAGATCGATCAGATCACCACATATGCGCGCAATAATGCAAGTTGATGCATGATGCCCGGCCTCCTCGCTCGATCAGGCGCCCTGGGACGGGCGCATGCACTGAACTTCGCCGACACCCAGCCAGCAGGTCCAATAATCTCCCTCCGGGCTCTGGCCCGTCCCTCGTAATTATTACTATTAGTTGATGATTTATCCAAGGGCAAATAATGGCCACTCAAATATGCTGGACCGCACTTCCACAACTAGAATTTTAGACTTCTCGGAGTGACGTAGACTTCTCATAGTATTTTAGCATTCAAAATTTAGTATAAACTTTCCCTACCAAATATCTCAGAGTGAGAATTCCTACGTGCCATGACTAGTGGTAGTGTTTTATTACTACTTAAAACACTAGGAGAATTCCACCATTTTGGTAGTGTTTCTTCTTAATTATGCGACCCAGCATATTTTAGAGATATTCAAAAAATTAACCAATTATTTATCCTTTGCAATATTACCAGCCAAATAATGGCAGTTTTAGTGCCATTTTTGTAATTTTTAATAGTGGATTTTATGATTATAGGGGCAGCTGCCAACCCTATGACGGCTAATATGGCCGAGCCACATCACTGAAAAACGACTAAGTTGACATTGTGGACATCTAACCCTATATTCATAATTTTTTCTCTTACCAAGCTTACACTAAGGTGCTGTTCAAACCAGTCTGCGAGAACTTCTACATTTATGTTTAGATTGAAAGTAAAATTTAAGACGTCTTGGACATGTTTCATACGTATATTTAATTGTGCTGATTTTTTTTCCTGAGTCACATTAGTCATTATTTAAGTTCGAGAGTCGACCGAATCCCATCACTAGTCTAGGTTTTCGAAGGTTTACATGAACGTGCTATGAACGATATCAAGGAGACATTTCTCCTCTAATCTATATTTTTCACCGCCGGTTCAGGACATGAGCCAACAGAGATAATCATTCACTGCCGGATCCAACAACCGCCCATCTATTATAAACTAGCAGTAAAATCTATCACAAGCAGTTTTTAACAAACCAGCGGTGAAAGTGCCATTGAAATTTTTTTATGTAATAGTGGAAGGCTTATTATTCTTATTAAAAATCATTCTTCAAACAGAATATATCTACAAAGCATCTCATAATTTGCGTGCTTTATGGTTTTGGGTGTGTGGTTGGTTGACAAATGTCTCTTCTCTATAGTAGTATACAACAGTAGAAGTCTTAGACAAACACACATACACATATGTTATATATGTATATATATATAATCATATTTAAAAATACAAAACTTTATATATACTACTATATATGGACCCTTTTTGTGGACTTCTTTCCATTTATATTCAACTGAGAGAACATGGAAAAAGCAATATAATTCATTGTTAATGTTCTATACTTTTTAGGGTTGCAAGGTATGCAAGGTCAAAGATTAAAGTGGTTCTACATAGATCTGTCTCTAAATTATAAAGCATAAACCATAGTACCTTGACAAGCCAGCCATTGATGGTTGTAACAACACAGGAGGATGGGATGGCCACCGGAAGGTTCAACTTGCACACCCCAGGTGAATTATTGTCTCTGTCCTTTGCTAATGGTCATGTGCTGCAATCGAGCATCTATATAAAGAGGATGAGGGGGGATCCAGGAGCGACACAAGTCCCAGTGGTAGTAGTGGCACTGGAGCTGATAGAAGAGGGGAGAGCTGGCTAGCTAGCCAGAGAGGAAAAATGTATATGGGGTGGTGTCGGTAAGACAGAGACAAATTAAGATTGTTCAAGATTTCATCAAGGCTAAAGGGAGAAAGAGAGAGAGTACAGGCTTACCATGTACACACTCAGATCTCAACAGTCTCTTATATATGTTGTTATCCGCGAGTGTGATGAAGGCTGTACCCTCTCTCTTCTCTTAGCTTCTTGATGCAAAGTCGCATACACACACTTGCATTGGGGAGCTCTTGTGATGGAGCAAGCGTTAGTTAGATCTAGATCACTGCACACCCATGCATCATCTCTAACTTTTTGGCCAACTTCTTTTTTTTTCGTTTGTTTCAAACAGCTCATAGCACATGCATGCATCTTATCTTTTTGTTGGTCAGTATTTGCTGATTTGCACTTAGCACTTAGCACGGTTTGTGCCCACAAGTCTGCTTAGTACTTATTTCTTTCATATATGTGATGGCTCTCGGTGTAGGCTCTGTAGGCAGAATGCTTCATATTTACAAATTTCGAGGTTTGCACGAAAGAAACTAATTTCCATTCAGATAAAGTAAAATGTCTCTTCTAGTTACCGTTTGTTTTTAGTTATCGCTGTTTTCTCTTTTTATTGAGAATGATCGCACAGAAGAACCCGGCATAGTGCATGCACGTCTATCTACTTGTGCTGACAGCCAGACACGTACATATACGAGTACACAAGCCGCACATCACATCCTGATCCACATCAGGATGTGTTGCAGCTAAGCTGTCTAGGTCAGAAGGCCAACACTATTTGGGATTCAGCGATCGTTGCCGAGTCTAAAGTCTAAACCCACTTTCACTGTTTATAGATAGATGGATTCGATCACCGATGAATTCGGTCTGTGACCATGATCAGTAATGCTTGGACCTGCAGGCCAGGACCCCAGGGGAGGGTGCAGCGCATTTGGATTTCAGACACACATACACACACACACACAAAAAAAAAAAATCGGCTCTCCACAAACTCCAGCTGCCGACTGTTGCAGGGTTCTGTCCGCGCAGCTTTTTCTTTCTTTCTTTCTATTGTGTGAGAGAAATTCTAGCTAGGCAGCCTTGGGCGTGACACAGCCCAAAAAACGGAAGTCGCTCGCGAACCAAACAGGGCCCTTGGCCTGTTTCTAGTGTGGTTGGTTTGCGCAGACGAATTCTCCAAACCATTTCTTTTATATATATAAGCAAAAGGCCCAGTCAGCCCGCCCATGGCCATGAATCCATTATTATATATATACTACTCCGTACTACTCCTTTCGTTTCAAATTATAATTCATTTGACTTTTTTAACGCTAAATTTGACCGCTTGTCTTAAAAAAAAGTGTAAACATAGTCAAATTTAAGTCATTCTTGAAGAACTTTTGTTAATAAAGAAAGCCATAACAAAAGAAGTGATATTTTGCACAAAATTTTGAATGAGACGAGTGGTCAAACTTGAGGTAAAAAAAATCAAAAAAAATATAATTTGGAACGGATTTAATAGTACTTATAGTATACGAACTTTATTAATTATTCTGGCGTGCAGTAGTGAGGACCCAGTGGAGATGCACATTGCCTGCCTGGTGAGAAGTTCTATCCTGTGAAACTCTAGGTCATCATGTATGGCTGTTATCTCCACCTAAGGGGCGTTTGTGGTTCCTGTGATCGAATAATGTCATCACCAGGAGCACTGCTTAAAAAAAAGTAGTTTAGTTATTTTGACTTCCATGTGCACACTCAACAATTCAAAAAGTCGTCTTTTCTTTGATGTAAAAAAAGACGTCTTTTAAATAAGTTTCAGAAAACAATATCAATTTTTCTAGGGACAATTGTCTAGCGGACACCGAAAGTGGAGGTCGTTGGCTGACGAACATCCAAAATTGAGCCATTTGCTGGAAGACACTCTCGTTACTGATAATTATGCTGCTGGACACCGCATCCCTTATTTTATTCATTTCCATTGGTTGAGGAGAGAGAACAGCGGTGAAATAACATTCTTGCCCCTGCCGCTTTTTTCTTCCTCTCTCCCTTTCTCTTTTTTCACGGACAAGACGAACGAGACGCGAAATGACAACACGCGCACGTCATGGATCCCAAGCAAAGCAGTGTCGACTGATCTGTGTGCATGCCTGAACAAGCCTACCCAACTAGCTAGCTAACCGCTGCGGCGCTGGTAGGCGTCCGGCGTGGCGGTGGTCGGCTGTAGCCTGAGCTGCTCGTAGAACTTCCGTATGAAGTCGTCGGCCTCAGCGTTCACGTGCTCGTTGCAGCACCCGTCCTCAGGCACGACCGGGAACGGCGAGTCGGTGACGCGCAGCAGGTGGACCCCGGTGGGGCTGCGGCCCAGGATCCACGCCACCATGGGCGATGGCGTCGCGGTGGTCACCATGGTCGACGGCGCGACCGCGGGGGTGCCGCCCCCGGCGTCCACCTCTGCGCTGAGCATCTCGAACGCGCGCGCCACGACCACCGCGTCGAGGCCGCCGTACTGCTCGCCGCGCGCCCGGCCGCCACCGCCGTGGCACTTCAAGGGGACGAAGAGCCCCTGCGGGTACGACGGCGTGGTGGTGCAGCTGAACTCTACCTCCTGGTGGTGGCCGTAGAACGAGGCGAGCGTGGAGGAGGAGGAGGACGACGACGCGCGGGACGACGTGCCGCCGTAGTTGGTGAGGTGGTGGCTCGACGGTTTGTGCGCGAGGTGGCCGCGCAGCGTCCGCCCGACGAGCTTGTCGCGGCCCAGGAGGAGGTGGACGTCCATCATGATGCGCTTCGGGGATAGGCTGCGCCGCAGCATGTGGCACACGGCCAGCACCACGTGCCACAGACGCCGCGCCAGACCTGGCTCCATGGGCCGCCGCGCCGGGGTCGTCGCCAGATCCATGGCTAATTGCAGAACTCTAGCAATGCACTAGCTTGCAAAGGCCGGATCAATGATGTGCCGGCCGGGTGCGGGAGGCGGAGAGGGTGGCGGGGATAGAAAACAGAAAAAGAGAAACGGAGAGAGGAAGAAGAAAGCGGCAGGGGCAAGAATGTCATTTCACAGCTGTTCTCTCTCCTCAACCAGTGAAAATGAATAAAATAAGGGACGCAGTGTCCAGCAGCATAATTATCAATAACGAGAGTGTCTTCCAGCAAATGACTCAATTTTGGGTGTCCGCCAGCCAACCACCCCCACTTTGGGTGTCCGGTAGACAATTTTTCCATTTTTCTAACAGCCATTAAATTTGCCATGTTCCATGCTCTATACAGTCACACAGCAGGTTCACACATCTCAGATGCATGCATTATTGAACATGATTTAGTGTATTCATAGGCCGTGTGGATCTCACTAAGATGAGTACTTCCTAAGGTCCGTTATATATATTGTTCCTTTTCCCAATAGCACAACGAACTGCAATATGATCATTAAAATAGAGCCGTGAGTGGTGAAGGCGTGACTTGCAATTTGCTTCCTCTGGAACCGTATATGAATAATTAAGACATCAGATATAACATGAAATATGATAATAAGAAATTTCTATATATATATGATATTTCACAAGAAGTTGTTTTCATTTCATCAACCTACATACGTTGTCAATTATCCATTTATGCAATCAGGGAATAAGTTAGTAGCGATACCGTATACGAATAGAAATTGATATAAATTATGAAGGTATTTATTCCTAGCGGGCCGGCCGCCTTGGTCGACTACAGAGAATATATAGACATTTGAGTGGAATACAGATTGTAGTTCGATCAGTGCAAAATCATAGTAGATTTCATATGTTACATGTGGATGCAAATTCGATCATGATTGAGAAAGATATATAAGAGCTCAAATAATGAAAAGTGGCATCGTTGCACTGATGGCAAATCTTGTTTGTGCAACAGCAATGTCTTTTCATTTCATAAGTTTATGATGTTCTCTGACATTTGGCAGGCTCAATTTCTGTTTGTTTCCCCTGCAGCTTTGTTTCAGTGTGCCTCTCTTTGCAGTTTGACCAAAGTATATAGAAGAATGTATGTGCTTCATGGCATTAGGATCTTTTTTTCTAGTAGTGACCTCATTTTTTTTATATGTCTATTTCCATTTCATGAATGAATATATAGAAGAATGTATGTTAACATATACAACTCTTTAGAATAACAATAATCAATTCAGATATTAACCTTCTTGCGTAGCTTGCTGTTACTACAAACTAACCAGCAATAAACGGAAATTGATTGTTTTATTGCCAATAAAGGTTTTATTGCCACAAATTGATTGTTTTATCATGATCTTTAACTTGCATTGTAGAAGATTGATATATATTACAAGGAATTGTAACACATCGCATCAATAAAGATTATAGTGCCACAAATTAATTATGTTGTTGTAATCTTTAAATTGTGTTGCAAAAAGTTGATATACATTGTAACGAAATTGTAAAGCATTGCATGAATAAAGGATTTATTGCCACAATTTATTCCGTGGTCATAATATTTAACATTGTTGCAAAAGGTTGCTCTTTACCACAACAAAAAAACTGGTCGGGTCCATTTTGTCTCCCACAACTATAGTAAAAGTCAGATTTTAATCCCTCAACTCTAAAACCAGAAATAGTTCCCCCCCATCTCCCAAAACAGGTCACTTGACCTCCATGGTTGTTTCCATAGGTGGTTTTTCTTTTTTTTTCTTTATGTTTATTTTGGCTAAATCTTTGAAAAATCATAGTAAATCATAAAATGAAAAATCCAATTGTATTGGACTCCACATAAGTAGATCTACACAGTGAACATATGACATGGTATGCTTTAGTATAAAGTTTTTGTTGTAAATTTAGATCTATGCTTTTCTATAATTAATTCATACCTGTAATTTCTCTAGTCCAATTGTGGTTTAAATTTTTTTGGTGGTCTAATCATTGTAGGCGAGAGCTGTAGTAAAAATTTCATGCTCATTGGATCATATATTACTGTAGTATACCATGTTATATGTTTACTGTGTATAACTACTCATGTGGAGTCCAACCCAATTGGATTTTCCATTTTATGATGTTTCTGTAATTTATTATGATTTTTTCAAAGATTCAGCCGAAATAAACATAAAAAAAACCACTAAGGGAAACAGCCATGGTGGTCAAGTGACCCATTTTGAAACATGAGAGAAACTTTTTCTGGTTTTAAAATGGAGGGAGAAAAAGCTGACTTTTTACGATGGCCGAGGGAGGCAAAATGGACTTTTTTTTTCTTTATAACAATACTATACAAGTCTACGGACCAGTTGGAGAATTCGTGGGCGCAACCAACCACACTAGGAACAGGCCGAGGTCAGGTTCGCTTCTGGGCCGTGTGGGCCTGTGTCACGCCCAAGGTCACAAACCGTAGCGCTCTCTAGTCTCTACTATTCATTCATGGAAACGCTGCCTAGAATTTCTCTCACACAAAAGAAAGGGGAAAAAACAAGCTGTGTGCAGACTGAACCCTGCACCAGTTGGCAGCTGAAGTTTGTGGAGAGCCGGGTTATTTATTTATTTATTTTGTGTGTGTGTCTGAAATCCAAACGCTGCTCCCTCCCGTGGTCTGCAGGACCAAGCGTTATTGATCATGGTCACAGGCCGTTCTCACTGGTGAATATGATCCATCTATCTATAAATGTGAACGGAGTTGCGCAACCCAGCGAAGCTCCGTTTTGTGTGGCCGCAAGATATTTACAGATATTTTGCCAAGCAAGGTGATGACCAGTCGGTACGTAGTACGCGTTAATTGACTGATAGTCTACATACTATGTTCATTTAATTTCATCTCTGCCACTGCCAAGCTAAGCTAGCTAGCTAGCGTGAGAGACCAATACTCCTGCCTGCGCCGGAGTGGCAATGGCACGTCGCCGCCGCTAGTTGCTGTTGATGATCCCCCCTCGTTCGGAGTCGTCAGCGTCGCCCTGCCATGTTTCGTCAACATGCATGGGCGGGAGTCACTCGGCAGCGCCCTGGCTTTTTGACCATAGTTATTTGAACTTGGACCGGACCGGTGGTCCGACCAGTAAAAGACCGAACCAAGGTCTCGGTCGGTCCGGTTCATCTTACAGGACCAGGACCAGTAAGCAATCGAACCGGTATGAAACCAATAAACCGACGGTTTTTTCATAGAATTGGGGGGGAAAATGAGGCAAAATTGTGTAAAAAGAGGTCAAACCAGTATAAAACCGGACAATGAACCGATGAAAACTGGTCGGCAAAATGGTGTAATAAGAGGTGTTGTGAGGACTTGAACCCTGGTCTGCAGGGCTAGAGGGCAAGTTCTCCACACTACGCTACAACATCAATTGTGTTCTGGTAGCGTTCCTTATTCTATTTGAACCGGATTAAACCAGAGGTTCAACCGGTCGGACCAATCAAACCGTGAACCAAGGGCTTGAGCGGTTCGATGTCCGGTCCGGTCCTAATAACTATTCTTTTGACCTACTCCATCCGTCACTCTGTATTCCTCGATCCCACTTTCCGAGAAGTCAAATAAACTTAACAAATATATATAAAAAATATTAATATTTAAGGTACATAATTAATATCGCTAAATAGATTGTTGAATTTATTTTTATAATAAACTTATTTAGAGATACATATATTGCTAATATTTTGTAAAAATCTAGTCAAAGTTAATAACGAGAAATATAATGGGACAGAGGGAGTACAACTGTGATCCATCCTGATGCCCATCAGGATGATGTGATGTGTGCAGCCTGTGTACTCGTATATATATACGTGGCTGGCTGTATGCAGAATTGAAGTAGCTAGCAGGCGGCTAGGCGAGGAGAGTGCATTACAAGCAAAAGTCACCTGTACGCTCACTTTGCCTTAATGACAATGAAGTTTTAGTTTCGTACTAGTGGTGATTTGTCATCAATCAACGTACACAATCAACTCTTCAGTCTTTACATGGACCGAGAGAGAGAGACACAGAGCATGCATTTATTCGGTATTCCTATTTAGTAGTCTCAATTCATACTCGAGTAATCCACACCGCAACCCGGCCGATATATATGACAGTCAGCGAATGAATTTGAATTGAATTGAATACGAGGGATCGCTGTCTTGGTTGCTTGTTTGCTTCGGATCGACAGCACACAGCGGCAGTGTGAGGATGACCCAACCAGAACCAGCCGCTGGCACTGGGAAATCCAATCCAAACGACACGAAACGAAAACCACCTGCAGGCTGGAGTATAAGTCAAGCGCCAAGAATCGCGGCACATGCACATCCTAGGCCGTAGGTGTACCTCTGCCTGCTAGTGCATGCACGTTCACTCTCACCTTTCACAAATTCATAATAGTATATATACTCTCTCCGTTTTAAATTACAATATTTTTTTTATTTTTTCTAGATATATAGCTTTGTCTATGCATTTAGATTTATACATAGTAAAAATTATACGTCTAGAAAAGCCAAAACGTTTTATAACTTTTTCCTACAGTCACGGGCGAATCTGGAAACGGCTCCGCGCGGTGCGGCGGTGACCAGCACCCCCTCCGTCCAGGCGTGGACGCTTGCCGGTGCACACCTCCCACCATTGTGGACGAGCTCGGGAACGGCTCCGCGCTGTGTGGCGGTGGCCGGCACCCCACCCTCCGTCTAGGCGCCAAGACTTGCCGGTGCGCGCCTCCCACCGTCACGGGCGAGTCTGGGAATGGCTCCATGCGGTGTGGTAGCGGCCGGCACCCACTACCCTAGATCTGGACATTACTGTCGGTTCAAAAACCCCCTTCACTGTCGGATTTTGAATCGACAGTGGTATACCGGCAGTGATGGGGGGTTGACATCACTGTCGGTTCTTAAAAACCGACACTGATCTACACGAAACAGTGTCAGTTTCTGGCTCCACCCGACAGTGTCTAGTTGAACAACACTGTCGGTTTGTAGTCCT